CAGCGTTTCTGTCATGGTTTTTGTTTCTTGTCACGTTCAGCCTCAGTGTGATATGTCATGTCTAACGTGCCTGGTGGTGTGGTGGCATATCCTTTTCATATGAAAAGGTATAACTGCATCAATGGGCAAGTTAAGTGCGGGAGACGAGGAGCTTATCAACGTCCTGTGTCAGGAGGAAAGGTATGGTGCCAAAAGGATCGTGAAAGAACATCCAAATCGCAAGTGGAACGTGAGAATAGTGAGCAAGTTGCATTAAACGTGACAAGATGTGCTCAGTCCGTGGTCTTCCACTGTCTGTCTTCACGGCTTGTGGTACCACTTTCCCGCAAATGTTTGATTGATACCCCATACCTAACTGGTTTTTTCTTCCACGCTATTGATGCACATTTGAGCAGCTAAAGTTTACCTGAATGGCTGTGCAAGAATCTTAAATCTGCCGGAATCAGTTCTGTTACAACAAGGCATTTCTTTGCTTACGGATCTGTAAGCAACAATGAACTGACCACAAGTAACGGTGCATTTGAATCCTGGCCCACTCGTCAGGNCCTATGGGGAACCCTATAGGTTTTATAGGGAACTCTACGGGTCCTATACAGAACCCTTTGGGTCCTATAGGGAACCTATAGGCCTTATGGGGAACCCTATTGGTTCTATAGGGAACCCTATAGGTTCTATAGGGGGATCTATAGGTTCTATAGGGAACTCTATAGGTCCCAAACTGAACTCTATGGGGCATATAGGATCCTATATTTTCCTATATATTCCTATATATTCATATATATTCGTCCTATATATTCCTAAAGGAATATATAGGAATCCTATAATACATTTTCGTAAGGGAATATCCAGTGAGTTCCGTCTCATAGCATCCTAAAGCAACACAACTTCAAATTTTCATGAAAACATGCTTTCAATTAATTATAAGTGGATGCGTTCCATCTTTTATAGAAACTCTAATCTCCCATATGCAAATGCGAGTTCCGCTTCGTAATCTTAACGTGAGACCCGTCGTTCTCACGTAAAACTGCCCGGGTAAAATATGGGAATATTTTGAGCTCAGCTCGGATGTGGACATCAGAGTGCATCGCGAGTGTAGTGAGGTCGACGAACGGATATCCGGTCGGGTGCGAGCGAAAATGCGTCATCTGAGACCTCCAGTTCTCAAAGTTGTTATGAATGTTAGAAATCGAATTTAAAAGATTATGATGTGTTTTCAATTGAAATCCTTTCGGAACACGACATTAATTTTCTTCATTAATTTATATTTATAAAAACGTAGACTGAGACTGTGTAGACTGACATACACATACAAGGACAAATGCCACAAGCGGCAACAGAGAGTACAGGAAAGGACATCCCTGACGGCTTTGCTGCACCTTCCCACGCTTCCTGTCATAATGTATCCTGTTTTCATGCGTCCGGGGAAAGGTGATGGCAACTCCGATACCGCTCCGACCATAGGCCCTCCATCGTTGCACATAGAGTGACCTATGCTTCAGCACAAGGGAGAGCAGGTAGTACCCGAAAGCAGCCGGGTGAACTGTCGGCCCAGGAGAATACCGCTTGCTGCCGGTCGGAGTCGAACCTAGACCTCCCGCGTGCGCCCGGGCCTCTTATGCACTGAGTCACGGTTCATTCATTTTATTGATGCCACCGTTTCCTGGGTATCGACCTTATCGGGGTCCAGGAAGGTAAAATCCAATTCGTTGGAATGTTTGACTTTGGCACTTGTCGATAGTCATGGTTAAAGCAACACCGTTTGGAAACTGCCGCCATTTGATTTCGCGAGGCATCGTTGGGCCTTGCCATCCGGGTTTCTGACGGCCGAGGCGATTATACAACGCCTTCAAATCAGTCCATGATTGCAAGACTGGAGTGAGACCGTTGACGAACTTCATCAGATAATTATTGTGCTTTTCGTTATCGAGACCACACTGTCGATCCTAAAGTAGGTCTTCCCTCATGCTCCAGTTTGCATTTTTATTTGAAATTTTCATTGATCACTGAATCATTTTGGTCGCCCAAAATTTACATGTAAACACACAATCGCGAGCTGCCCACAATGTTACGACTTTCCACGATTGAGTAACCAATGCTGCTCTGTAGTCCCTGTAGTGGTTTCTGTAGTAGACCCTTTTTTAGGGTCGGGTTGGGCGGAATTTTAGCATTCAAATGTTATCTTTTTTTTGGTCTGAGACCATGGAAATGTCATGAATTTTTCATGCATGAAATCGGAGAGAATGAAAATGCTAAATAGGCCATGAATATGAATAAAGGATGAGTTTTTGACTGGCAAGGGACAGTTAGTGCCACTCGAGATTGAAATCTGCTAAGTCGTTTCTTTCTGAAGGAATTTTCTCATGTCAGTCGACTCTCGACGACTTCCTGTTTTTGCAAAAGAAACTAGGAATGATGAGGAAGCATATGTTAAAGGACTCATAATTTTAGCTCGGGTACGGTCGGGTCACGCCATGAAGTCAAGTTGGAATTCGGGTTTCCGATCGGGTGCGGGCCATGACTTGAATCGGGTCCATCGGATCGGGTTCTGGGATATCGGACCGTGCAGGACTCTACCGGTGATGGCATAGTGGTGAAAAATGTCATAGCTTATAACTCCTCCTCCGTTGATGCAATTTCAAATCTGATTTCTCATAGCGTTCACGTGGCGGCCAGCCACTCCTAATCTTCAGCGTTTCTGTCATGGTTTTTGTTTCTTGTCACGTTCAGCCTCAGTGTGATATGTCATGTCTAACGTGCCTGGTGGTGTGGTGGCATATCCTTTTCATATGAAAAGGTATAACTGCATCAATGGGCAAGTTAAGTGCGGGAGACGAGGAGCTTATCAACGTCCTGTGTCAGGAGGAAAGGTATGGTGCCAAAAGGATCGTGAAAGAACATCCAAATCGCAAGTGGAACGTGAGAATAGTGAGCAAGTTGCATTAAACGTGACAAGATGTGCTCAGTCCGTGGTCTTCCACTGTCTGTCTTCACGGCTTGTGGTACCACTTTCCCGCAAATGTTTGATTGATACCCCATACCTAACTGGTTTTTTCTTCCACGCTATTGATGCACATTTGAGCAGCTAAAGTTTACCTGAATGGCTTTGCAAGAATCTTAAATCTGCCGGAATCAGTTCTGTTACAACAAGGCATTTCTTTGCTTACGGATCTGTAAGCAACAATGAACTGACCACAAGTAACGGTGCATTTGAATCCTGGCCCACTCGTCAGGAGAGAACAGAGCAGGGGTGTTAAACTCAAATCGGTCGGCGGGCTACATTCCTTACCTTACCTGCAGGCAGCAATTTTTCGCCGAAATTTCGCCGGACAGTCAATCCAAGCGGACATTTCAGGAACAGACATAGGGCCGGATGAGCCACCTCCGCGGGCCGGATGAACCACCTCCGCCTGCCCGTACGTCTGACGCCCCAGGCATAGAGGATCACGTCCAGGAATGTGGGGAATTTAAAGGATAAGTTATGGGATAATTGATGATTCCTTTTGGCTCGATCACGTCCGATTCTGAATTTACCTATGATCTCCTCTTCCGTCGACTTTACTTCCAAGAAAAATATGCTGAGTCCCTCGATATTCTCGGAATGAGAGGAGACCCTTACAAATATCAGACTTATTTACCGCAATTAGGACGCAATGCTTTCTTCAGAACTCGTGAAACGAAAGCAGAATTTCCATGATTCCTGCTCAAGATCCCACATCCTCCATCGCATGTCATAAATTATTGTTAATATGTCTATAAAGAAGAAAGCACGCGATTGCATTGAATGAAACGGCCTTTTTCTTACCAGGCTGCAATATACTGTATACCAGAAAGTTCCTTAGAGCCGGAATGATCTGATAATGAATCTGAGTCTAAAGATACCGTTTCGATGCATAGCCACTTTCAGGAGAAAAACTTTATTCAGCACGAAGAGTTTGTACAACGAAGAAATTCTAGTCATTCCAGGAAGTTGTAATGGATGAATAAGCAGGGAAAAACTGAAGAAAGATACCGGAAAGATCAGGGTGTTGGACACCATTTCGCATCCTGGGTGTTCGGAAGGATGAAACTGTTCACATAATCTGCAACGGAGGAAATGAAAAACATCGATGACCCAAAATCCCAATCACAACCGGAGAGCAGACGGAATTCCCTCCTCACTTCCTGCTTTGGTGAACCCGCCGCCAAACTGCACGTCGCAATTGCTTCCAAACGACGTGATTCCGACCTCCAAGTAATATCCGGCCGGCGCTTTGTACAGCAACGGTCCTCCAGAGTCACCCTATCAGGCGAGAGGAATCTCAACTCGTTCTTGCCCGATTCGGGGATTTAAGAATATGCTGGCTCACGTTGCAGGTGTTCTTGGCGTTCTCCTGCGCGCAGATGATGTTATTATCGACCACCGAACCCCAATAAGATCGACAGGTCGTATCATTCAAGACTTTCACGGTCGTTTCCATCAGAGTTGTTGGGAGGTTTCCACCTGGGGGATTCAAGCACTGTTGTTTATCCTCGGCTGTAAATTACCTAAGTCTATTTGTGGGGGGCACAGCTCGTGAGGAATATATATGGTAAACAAATTTTGGAATTTCGAGCGTACTAGATCATACAACGGAAATATATTGTTTCCAACACCTTTTGTCAATAATGATTATTTTTCCCGCACAGAAAATTTGGGATAAGGAAGCCTACAAATAAGGTTATAGCATGTGAATAAAGGATACTATTTGTGGAAATTACTTCAAGGAAATTTGAGGAATTCTTTTCTTCCATACTACATCATTGTTCCATACAAGTAGAAGTATTTCTCTCCCAGAGAAAAATCAAATTCACAGTTAAGATTATCTACCGGGAAAACACCACTCCCGGCAGGCAATTTTACCAGAGCTCACAACCATAGCAGGCGAGCAGAATTGCATGCAAAGGAAGAAGGCTTCCTCCAATTAAGAATGAGACTCGTAAGAACTATTTCCTCCACTCATAGGAAGGAGTTTTGCTTCCATCGCTTGGATCACTCACCATAGGCCAGACGGCCCCATCCAACGATCGCGACTGTCGCTCCCGCTGCAGGGAAAATGCTGGAAGAGAGACACACGGGACGGATGTGTGGATATTTCTGGAAGTCAACCGGAGTCTGAAGTTTCAGCAGGGCGATGTCATTCCGGTAGAAAACATTTGGATTCCATGTCGGATAGACGATGGCCTTCGCTGGAATTTGTATGGACACGCTCTCGGTCGTGGTCGATCTGTCCAGATCACCCAGGTTCACGTAGAAGGTCGTTGTTGAGTTGCTGTAAGAATTGAGAAGGGCATATGTGGAAAAGGACACAACAGAAAAAAAGAAGCAAAATCGTCTCAGAGCTCATCTGCGACTGTTCCGAATTCGTTTTTCGGTGATATGGTATCATAAGCTTCTTGTTATGTAAACTTTTGGATAAAACGATGTTTTCTTCTACCAAGTGTCATGATTCAGGCCGACTGTTTACGAACTTACTCTCCTTTTCCATATCTACATTATTTGAACTTCTTCAGCCATTTGCAGCCTGCAGTAATTTCTCATTTTTTAATATGACAACTTGCCTCTGAATTAATACCTCCCTCTATTTAAAAAAAAAAAACCTTCAAAGGAAAACGAGGAAGAAGGCGTGAATCCAAAAAAGACTTCACGATTCCCGACTTTCTCACACAATTACATCTCGCCCGTTTTCTTATTCTTCAAGCGCCCCTTAATACGCTTCGAGGATCTTCTCATCTTCCTCATCCTTTCCTTCCCAGAAGAGGCTATAGCGGAACCGCAGGACGCCTGCCCCTCATCCGGCGAGAGCATGGAGACCATCGCTCCACATCACATCGGAACCACCTCAAGATCACGCAATCCCATTATGAAAGTCCTAAGCCATTAGTAAGGATCTGGTAAGAAGGACGTATGGGCACTGACTCCCCTTTTTCCAGAGAGGTCATTATAGTTGGAATATCTTCCCTCAAAGAAGTCTATGCATACAGTATTTGTATATTTATATGTGAGAGAAATCACCGGTTGGATTTCATTACGCTAATGAACTCACTTCGAGCCGATGCAGTGAGCAGCGGTGAGCACATATCGATCGTTGATGAGGGCTCCTCCGCAGTTGAACACCCCTGGGCCACTCCCCATCCATGCCATCCAGGGATATTTTCCCTGATTGGGAACGGGAGTTCCACCGATGATTCGATCCAGATCCGCCTTCGTTAGTTTTGCCGCCGAGCGGGCCGCCAGGTGCAGATCGGTCCTCTTGCTGCTGCGAGAGAGCCCGCAATCTAACGGACGATGTCGCGATCGTCATTCGCATCGCAGGAATGGTTTCAACCTCTTTCATTAATACTTGCATAAAGTCGTGTTTCTATACTTACAGCAAGTAGGTGTCGGCGGTGTAGAACCTGAAATGGGCGGTGGGATATCAGCATTAGATGTTTAAAGGAATTTTCGTGCTAATGGTAGAGACATGGTATTGATATTTAAAATCACTTTTCCATCGGATTTCCACATTCATTGCCTTTTATTTAGTTTAACTTTGTTAAAACTTCTTATAGCTCCTGAAAAATTGTCCTCGAATGATGCGCTAAAATCCTGAAGATTTGGAACCGTTCTGTTACGTTTGGGTAATATTTTATTTACCGATCCAGAAGCGGTGATAAACTGACCACAAGTAACAGTGCATTTGAATCCCGGTCCGTTCGTTCGTATAGCATAAAGGATCACGTCCAGAGACGTCCCAACATTCACCGGACTTTTAAAATTAGTTGCTGCTCCACACACCCTGAAAACGTAAGCATTTTCGGGTCAGCCTGAGAGTTTTTTAAATGCAAGTATTTTCGCGCACTGCATCTCTTACCAATTTCCATTATAGATGAAGGCTGACTCCCGACATTGGTTGGTGGACGGAAGTTGGAAAGCGGAGCACTGAAGCGTCATCGCTGTGGGGCACTGCACAGAACAGCCATGTTACATAAAATACACACAACGAGAGCATGTAGAGTGGGAGAAACTCACAGTGAACTTCCAGTTGCAAATGGATAGGAATGGGTAGTTTTGAGGATAGTTCTGACTGATGAGCGGAAACGACGTTCCCGATGCAAGGCTCAGAGTGGTACCGCACGACGGAGTCTGCCGATTCTCTGCAGCAAAAATTCCTGAAATTGAGTGAGATTTTTGGAAACGGAATGAGAATCCTAGGTCACGGACATACCCGGCATCGACTTCATCGAAGATAAGAATGAGCCCCGAACTCCAACCTCCTCCTCGCCCTATTGAAAGACAGAACAACTCGTGGAGGATTCCATTTCTCTTGGGTGACTCTACGACAAGCGGAACGGACCTGGACATTGGCGAGGAGCACGAAGGAAAGGAAGACTGTGATGGCAGACACCTCCATTCTGGGATTCTTGTTCGTGTCGTCGACTGGGCCGGTCTCATGCAGTAACTCGTCGAGGCAATAGAATTTATACGTAGTATCCTGGATTCTGGCGTTTCGGAATGGGACCTTGGAAAGCCCTAATGGCCGTTGACGCAGGTGCATCCTCCGACTATCAAAATACCAGATGCGCGGATGAACGTGCTATCTTCACTCTCCTCTACGTTTTCCATGTATGTGCACCAGCTATGGCTATAGCCATTGCCAGTACCTTACTTTCTTACTTCCTGACAGACTTCAGAAAACTCTCCAAAACATTGAACACTTGCAACCTATGAATGAATCATTTTGACGATTTCTTCGATGCAGACACTGCAAAATCACAAAAAGGTCCATAATATGTGAATTAGCCCCACCTTTGGGTGGGGGACTGTCCCACCCCTGGGTGGGACAGTATGTCGCTCCGTTTTTACGGAAGCGTGGAATTATTCTCTCTTTTTTTTTCAACCTAACCGTTATGAATTCGGATAGTTCGATGATTCTTTAATTCCGTGCATTTGACACGGTAATGCTTTCCCCCCGCTTCTACTACGAGAGATTCGGCAAGAGGAGAGATGCGATGTGGCTGCAAGAGTACGGAGAAACCAAGAGAAATCTTTTTCCTGGGCCTTCCTGGGGAAGAAGTAAACGTTCTGTCACGAGTCGCATCTCCCATGCAACTCTACCCCCCCCCCCTCCCCTCCCCAAAATGACTTCAAACGCCAGAAATTGATGTGCTTCCCGGAACTCAACGAAAATTGGTTGAAAGTTGCGCTCGCCAGGTGCCGGCTTCTGCCTTTTGGCGTGGTGAATGCACCTGTGACAGTAGCGCAATGCCTTTTTTCTATGTCATTTTTACTTTATTAACTGCGTCATTATTTTCGAGGATCGAGAATTGCTAAGGTCGAAATGAATTGTGACCTTCGCCTCATTTGTGTACAATTTTCTAGATGCAATCCACAACCGTGCCACATCGTCCTTCAGTGCTCATTTTGCTGTCGAACATCGTCCACATCCGACAGGAGCACTGGCAGTACCTGAAGTACTTGAAGTACTGCTTGAAGAGAGCGTCGCAGAGTCTCCCCGCCGTTCAAATCCAGCAAAACTCGTCTGTTTATACCCTCATGACGTGGAACGGAAGGCAGGGTTCTCCAAACCTGCTCGCTTCCCGCAATCTGTCGAGTTTGTGACATGAAGACAAATGAGCCGAGAATTTTCCATCAGTATAGTATAACCGACTCTGAATGAAACGGGAGATGAGGCCACTTTCACCGTGGATTCAGGCGTTGGAGGACGAAGAATGGGCCAAGCCGGGACCCAGGCGACATGAACGAACCCCTATTTCTCATAAATGGTTTCTATCATCTCTGAGCATCAGCTGGATTACGAGACACTGAAAGGTTTCGGCTCTCGTTCGGTCGTGGCTACGAGAGTGGTCTTCCACATGATGAAACATAGTCTCTCCGCAAGTTTCTGCGCGAGATAGGAATAAATGTGGCCGAGATTCCAATTCTTGGTAAACTCGACACGAGTCTTCGCATCTGTTGTCCTCTCTCGAGAATGAAGCGCAGAGCGCGACGTCATCCGACGCATGCCATAGCCCGATCTCTGCATCTGCCACGTGCCCGGAGAGGCTATCCGCTTCCCGTATGGGGAATGGGGAAATTCCTCTGGCCCGAGTCACCTACGCCTTCGGTCGTGCCCTTTCAGTGTTGCATTCGCTTCGTGCCGTGTGGTGGGGAACCTCGAGCCTCTCTCTATTCCCTCGATACTCTTGATTCTCTCTATATAAAGCAGGTTCAGTTTTGAGATGGTCTGCGCAGGTGCTGTATGCTAGTTTCCAGGGCTGGGTGGAGAATGAACTTTCTTTCTCAACGGAAGGAAGTGTGCTCGCAATGCACCATTCTGCCCATGCATGAGACAGATGTGCGCATGGCCAGAGAGTTACACCCGTGCAGGCATTACTAGCACTGAAGATACAAAAGCCCCATCGTGGGAGAATTCCTACTTGGTAAGGAATTAACAGCAAAAGCAGCGCCAATATTGACCTCGGTTGTCAACCCATTTAATAGTAATCCCAGGGTTTCGACACCCAAAAAGCCTCACCGAATCCTATTGGTCAGGAGTCCTATAAGACCCTATAGGGATCCTACAGGTTTTTCGCGATTCAAAACCCTATAGGAAATATCTATAAATTTCCTATAAAAAAATATCTATAGGTTTCCTGTAAGACTTTTTAGTAAGGGATGCCATTTCAGGAATAAATGCGGTGGGTGGTAATAGAATTACACGAAGGAAACCTTCATCGCAGTCAGACAGACCCAGCACTGAGCTTCATTTTCACAGGAGCGATAATTTGCACTTGCATCCATTCCATTACCTTCTCCATCTCATGAGGTAACCTTGAAAATCGAACCATAGTTCCTCCATCTTTCGAGTCGGTGTTTTCTGGAAACTCCTTGGACTGGGTTACCTCTAAAGGCCGATTCGTTAAGGAATTCAAATATCTATACTGGTGTATGCGGGAAATGATCTGCTACCGTGTGGAAGGTATTAGGGGATAATTCCAGGTGTATCAAGAATTGACCCACTACGGCGACTACGTCGGCATCATCTCGCGTCAGTTGTGCGAACCTCTGGTTCAAGCCATTGCTAGAGGTATTCCATTGTTACGCCTGGGGAAAACATATATTTAATGTTCAACGAATGCCCTTCGATTTCGGAACATTCCGTGATCAAACGGCACCTTAACTGAGCACTCCAAAGGTGCTCATCCGCGTGCATTGGGAGTCCAAAACCATGGACTGCATCTTTCGATTAGTCATATTTCCGCAGTCACTACAACCGCAACTTCGTTGGTTTTTCCTCGCTTCGGCGTGATTCCAGCAATCTCTATTTACAAAATGAAACTTGCAAGTGCACGCGAAGTGCAGTCAGGCTTCGCGGATTTAAGCGCCCAGTTCCCCTTAACGCAGTCATGCCTGACGATTCCATGTTCTGTATAGAGGTGCATCTCTGCACGCCGTCCTGCATATAGGACACCAGGTATATCTGGGTTAATTACCTCCAACATTTGGTTTGGAGTGTTGATTCGTACAAGGATTCGATTTAGATCTATCAGGATTATCATATCAGAGGGAAAGGGTTCATGTTCTGAATCAAGCACAAAAGTTGAGCATGTATTGGAATCTGGTTTGAAGTACTATAAGTGATGGCAACGATGGGTGAGTTCCAGACAGAAAACTTAATAAAACTAACGTTAATAATGCTAAGAGATGAAAAAGCCTAACGTTGTACTCAACGCTTTAGCTATGCTGCATTTATTCATTTTAAATAACGAATATGTACAGGAAGCTCTGGCAAGAAGCGTTCATAGAAGGCTCCACTTCCTAAAATGCCCGCCGGGCAATCCTTGAAATGATGTCTTCGCAGCGACAGGAGTGACGAAAAGAGCGAGGAAGGGAGAAGGGAAGGAGGTTCAGAGATGGGGAGAGTGAACTCACACTGGCGTGGAAGATGCGACGAGAGTGGAGGTCAACCTCCCTTTGTCGACAATGCAAAGGGGCCGGGCAGCCTTCAGCCCGCAAATGCTTCAACCAGCGAATTCCAGGGGGGATCTCTCATCAGTCGCAAATCCGTTGTCTTGACATCTTGAAAACTCCCACCAAGACCGTGTAAATTTCCATGTAAATTACAAACCCCGAAAACTTTTTTTTTATAAGGGCAGACATAAGATGCTAATTCCCTGGAGAGTTCCTTACTTTAGTCGAAAAATTGAACATTTTTCCAGTTTCTAACTAATTCATCCTGTCCCAATATCATCTAATTCATTTTTATGTACTGTTGCAGCAGCAACAGATTGCGATCGACTTCATCTAAGTTGCATTTGCCTCTCCTACAGGCGCCAGCACTCCAATAAATTCCGTTCCAGTAATTGGTATGTGGCGAGGGGAATTTCCATCAACCCGCCACATTTGAGATCTGTGAAACAGAGAAGCCGTACATCCATCTGGCACCCGAAGCCGTTTCAACGTATCGGATGAGAAAGGCAACTAGATGCGATTTTACGTTTCTTTCTCCAATAAATAACGGAATGAATGCTCAACGGATATTTTTCACACCGCAAGAGCTGTTAATATCTTCTTCATGCACAGTTTCTGAAGTAGACAAGATTCTATGGTGAACCATTTGTGTCCACCACGCTTTCGAATGAGTTAGTTTCAGCATGTAGAGGCTGGTTTCAGGCGTTATGGCAACACTGTCTACGTCATCTGGCAACCCTAGCCATGCCATCACGGTCAAGTCGCAGCTGCCTTCATGCTAAAGCGGTTCAACTGCGAAATTCCTAATGGACGGGAAACCAAGCAGGAAAATTGGGGCGACCGTTTTGTTGGCTTCAGGGCAGAAGTCCTTAAGTACTCAAGTACTCGGGATCCAAGATTCACCATCGGAAAGGAAGCACCGCACAATACGTTTTCCCGAGTGGAGGTCGAGCGTTCATTTAGTAATCTTAAAAAATTTCTCGGCCTTTAAGATACCTATTTTATGGGTGCATTATCTTCCAGCGCCTGCTTGGTGTAACGTATGTCAGGAACCATAGATTTTTGTGAAGTAACGTGAAACCAATTTTCAATGACTTTTCCTTTCTTTAACCCCATTTCTACGGGACTCACTAACGTTAGGCCTAGGGCCCAACCAACAGACTACCTTCAGGACACGCCAAGGTATACCTTTTCCTTTTCAAAAGAAACTCTATTCTCGACTTAAGGCGTCAATTAAGCCTAAAAGGGTGAATCGTGGTCTTGGAGACAACTGGTTGAGGACGTGTGACGATAGACCGATTGGAGGCCTGCATCGCGTTTCATGAACGATTTCGTTAGGGCGATCTGGAGTTCTTCGAATCAGCTCCAACAGGTCTGAGGAAGGAATGCCTTCAAAAAGCTTGGAATCCATGGTACTTGCCATCCTGTTAATTCAGTGATGTCCGGATAACATAAATGCATATTCCACCACATCGATGAATAGCTGCTAAGCACCGCTTCATTCTCAGCTCAACTCTTCACACAATTCAGCACAAAATGTCTCAAATTGAACGACAGCTAATTTCATTTTTATGGCGAAATGGAGCATCGCAAACAAAAAATGCCACTTTTCTTCATTTACGAGTCAATATATTTCTTATGGTTAGTCTCTTTCCTCCGAAAACCCCCCAGGAGTTCAGTTATTTGTTATCCTAATGAATATTTTAAATTATCATATATGGGGAGGCGTCTCCTGAAAATTTTTGAGGAGGCCGGACCTTCCTTGCCTCCCTTGACGAGCCAGCACCGTTTCAATACCACTTTGGATGCCGGACGGAATACAGGGTGCTCCGAAAGTCCTGCTTCATTTGCCTTTTTATGGCCATGTTACATGTTCAAATTGGGCATCGTCAGAAGCTTGATAAACGTGGACGCGAGGACGAAAGCTGTCATCGTACGCGCGCGAGGGTCCTTCCAGTGAAATGAAAATACGTAAGAAAATAAAAATAAATTGAATGGAAGAGGAAAAAATCCTTACGAGGCAGGACTTTTTGGGCCATCCGGTATATCCAGTTCTAAGTATTTTGCTTCTCTATGACACAGCTTAACACCCAAGCAGCACATATACGTTGAATTCATATCAACTTAATGTGGACACTTCCACAACATGCAAGTGGATCGGACATGAAACTCACTCTCATATTTACCAGACCATTCCATCAATAACTTGCCAATAGTGTACCTCTCCATCAACATCAACATCAACATCGACAAGAAATTCCTGTTGGTATTTACAAGGCTATTGTACCCCAAGTAGCAGTAACATTAAGTGTAATGAACGTTCAATGAACGTTCACGTGTTGCCACCGTTCCACGAACGTCCTCGGAAGCGTTTCTTGACTGTTCAAACCTCTGACATTCAGAGCGATCAACAAAAGTTCAAATCGTGCGTTCCCCGAACGCACGATTCGAACTATTCGGAGCTTCCGATCACAAGAATTCGTTCTACCGTCCTTCATTCGCGGATGAAGAAATCCCAAGAGTCCGAGCAAGAATCCTTTCCGAAGCGCAAAGACAAGCCGACATATGTATCAGAAGAGGAATTCCTCCTCTGCGTCAGAGACACGTGCAAAGGAAGAAGGGGATGTCGCAGACTCCTCAACAGAAAGAAGTTCTCTCCACAAAGATGTAGTTCATACCTTATTTCTAGTATTATGATAGGCTTAAGAATGCTTAAGCCTACCATAATACATGAAATACTATCATAATACTCAAGCTAATGCTTAAGAAAAGACGTGGATATGTCTATGCAATGTAAGAGGTGATGTAAAATTTAGAATGATAAGTACAAGGCCTTCGTAGCAATAACTTGTGAAAAGTGTGCCTCCACATGAATATCAAAATATGCGTAAAATGTAACATGAAGTTGATGTGACTTGCACACAGGCAACATTTCTACGTAAATAGCGTCATCGATAGTCCCGTGAAATTTTCAACATGCGTGACATTCTCATCATGTTGACGTAGTATTAACATGAAAGAGTCAATTAGTGTGCTCCTTGGGCATCGAGGAGTTTCACGGAAAATAACGCTTCATGGCTTAAGCGGCGCCGTGGTCCCGCTTTCACAAGCCACCAAGCACAAAATCCATCTGAGTGGTGACACTTTGACCCTTTGACGAACGAGAAAAAGGTAATAGGAGTGAACGTCTTTGTCCAACTTCTTTTTAAGATTGTGAAGGATTTACTTCCTCAACAGGATATAGGTTATAGTTCTACAGTTCTGGAAAATGTTCTCTCTCGAGCTCGTCTGGTTTTTCCCTGCGGCAGGCTTAGGAAACTTGCAAATTGTTCTTCAAATTTGTACATGTTGATTCCGGTTTCCTGATCCCCGAAGCATTCTCATTGTGAAAAGAGGTCTTGGTTCGGGTTCATCAGTGAACAATTCTCGAAAGCATTTTTTTTTTCGAACAAGCCGCGGTGAACTTTACGCTTAAAAGTGTCACCGTTGAGTCGACGGTGATTCAACGGCGACCACCGTCGAACTCCTCTTGACTGGATGTTGAAAACCGGGGATAGAACAATGAAATACCATTTCTTTGCTGTTATATAATTTCACCAAATGGAACTTTTATTTGTAAGGGTTGCCAAAAAGACCCCGCCGACCCCACCTCTCGTCCTTCAGTCATCCAGAGAATTCTTCACTTTGATGTACGCCATATTCAGGTGGCAGAACCCCTTACACGTCGCAATCGGACCGTTCGCGACGGCCAAGCAAGCGTCCCTCACCGCCGTTTCGATATTCTCCAGGGAGCGACAGAACCGCTCCATCTTGGCCTCCCCGCAAGTGCAGGCGCACAGGCACGCGCTGATCCCGTCGTCGTCTGCCAGGACGGAGTCGGGGATCAGCGACGAGGCGAATAGTACCGCCAGCGCCCACACGGCGGTTGTACTTCTCATTTTCTGGAATAAAAACGAACGAAAGCATTTCATGAATTGCTAAATAACTATTATCATGTGGTAAATCCACCATTTGTGACAGTATGCATTCAAACATTGCCATTACTATCCATTTCACCTGTCAGCTGACAGGGGCCGATGAAGCTGGACTGCAAAATTAAAGAACGAATATTTACAAAGTTTAAACTTTCTATGTCCCACCGTCGCATTGAAGCAATGAAATGTCTTGAAAAGCGTCTCGTCTCCCTCTCCCCCCATAATATGAATCACAAGAGGAACTACTGAAGTCGAATTTTTTTCTTCATTTAGCACCCAAACAGCTATTTGTGTACCGAGTTTCATTTTCCCATCAATATCTAAACCACCGGCGTCATTCAACTACTCACTATCACCTAGATACACTGTCAGATGGTCTCTTCAGTCTCTTTTTTCCTTGGAATACATATTGTGACAGGTCATGTTTCGCGGGCCACCACAACGGCAAATTTATTGGTTTTTCCTAACTTTCACGTGATTGCAGCACTCTCACCTACAAAATAAATATTGCATGTGGCCGACCAAAACTCGGTAGGCTTCGCCCAGTTCCTCTTAATTACGTCCAAGATTTGGTTTGGAGCGTTGATTCATACCAGTGTGTCGATTATAAATCGATCCAATTTTTAATATAATAGGGAAAGGGTTCTGAATCATGCGCAAAAATTGAATATGTAGTGGAATCTGATTTGAAGTTAATGATGCTGACGATTGGTGATTTCCAAACGAACACTTTTTAAAACGTAATTTAATCATGTTGAGGGATTAGGACCTTTCACCCAACGTTTAAGCCTGACAGCATTTATTCATGTTAAAAAATAATAGGTACGGGAAGTGGGCCTCCGTCCGAAAGCGTTTGTCTTCCTAAAATGCCTGAAGGGGAGGCCTTGAAATGAAGTCTTCGCAGAGAGAGGAGAGACGAAAAGAGCGAGGAAGGAGAAAGAGGAGGTTCAGAGAAGGGGAGAATGAACTCACTCTAGCGTGGAAGATGCAACGAGAGTGGAGGTCGAGTTCTCGTTCTAGTCCTGCGGGGCCAGCCTTTAGCGAGAATATGATTGAACCTAGGCGCGGAAATTCCAGGGGGGATCTCGGATCAAAATTGCAAATTTGAACTCGCGACGTGCCCGGTCGTTTCCGCTGGGCGTGGAGTGAGTCAGAGCCAGACTTCATCGCGATTCTCTTCGATTTCGATATCGACGTTTTGCATTCCCTATGGTAATTTCGGAGTGGTTCTTGCACCATATGATCCCTCACGTCATTGCAGTGCCTCATTTCTCACTTCTGGATTCAGCGCAGACTACGGCGGACCATGTCGGATGTCGTGAGGGAACGAGAATGTATTTTCATGCCATGTTTCACAGGACTCTTTCTTTGTCATGAGAGTGTGGAGTGTGCTTGAAACCGTTCCTCCCTGTCCAGCCAAGAGGGAATACAAGAACATTAGGATTATCGCTTATCTGAAGAATGGATGGAAATATTAAATTACATTATCTGCACGTATATACACTGCTAATTTCTTTCGGATACCTCGTTTGATGCTTTTTTGCAGGTGGGAAAAGTTTGGAAGGTTTTTTTGGGCCACAATAAATTATGCGGTGTGAGTGGTGTAATATTGTGATGTGCATGAATATCTTGAGCGCGTGGGAGTGCATGGCCTCTTCGCCCTAAAGCCTTCCCACCGTGCGAGTACCTTGTGCTTCACGAAGGGATTCTAATATGATCGTTTCCTTTATTTTTCGAGTCCAGTTTCATATGGTGTTCGTATTTGGTTTCTTGTATTGGTAGTGCAATGCGTGTCACCAGTAGAGTAAGCTTCCAAGATTGAAGCCTTATGATAGTCCTACTTTCCCACTTTGGTTCGTCTGACAGTATTGTAAGCCTATCGCCTTGAATAAATAGGTGCTTCTACGCTTTTAAAACTAAATCTTATTAAACTCCCCTATTAATATATCCACCTTTGCCTATATTTCTTTGAATGTTTTCATGAGAGCGTCTGTTAAACTAAATCAATCACCCCCCACAGAGCATGTACATTAAAAGTTTACTTTATTTCTGTAGTACGCAATCCTGGAGGATTTCCCGACGAGGAAACCTGAACGAAAGTTCAGGTTTCCTCGTCGGGAAAATGTCGACTTTTAAGATGTTCATCCGTCTGATATATTCATTACCTCGAATGCTTTCACCCCTCACCTCTTGCACAAAAGAAAATAGATCTGTCTCTCTATGCTGCCACCAGGCAGACGGAGTTGCGAATATGCTCCATGCAGAAAATATTTTAGCTGAAACTGCGTATTTTTTCGCCCTTGTATCATTCAAAGGCAGAGGCTCAATCAAATCCGTAATGGGGAATTTCCAATGGGGAAATAATCACTGATCCATCTTCTCAATGATCTCTTCCTTCCATTCTCAAATATGCTTCTTCCTTCAGCAGATCATTGTATACAACAACACCGACGCAGCTTCAGAATCAGTTTCAATATGGAAGAGGTCGGAACCTTTTTTTCTGGGCTCATTTGCGAAAATCCCTCCATTATGTTTTTCGATATTCCATCCAGTCATATCCATCCAGTCGATATTCCATTCGATTACGATATTCCATCCAGTCTGGCGAACTCCAGCGGGCGATGATGAAGAGGAATTCTCACCCTCATTCCGAAAGAAGGAGAGAAGGTTCTCCAGTTCGTCATCCCCTCCAAAGATGGCGACAATGACAAGGTCCTCGGTTCTTCATCCCCTCCAGAATTGAGGCTGGCATCGGGGGCGCTGGAGATCCTTTCGGGATATTGGCACTTGTCCCCTTCCGTCTTCCTGGAAACAGCGTTACAACAAAGGACATTCGCCACGATTGATCAAACCAATGCATTCTCAACAAGGCCAAGGACTTACCTTTTGGTCGTAACGAAGTCGAGGGGAACCGGTGACGATTGAGACCACTTCCGCGACTACACTCGATTTCTGCTTGGAACAGCTTTTTATACCCTCTCCTTCCTCCTTCCATGGAGTGGTCGACCTTGACACACCCCCTTCCCACGCAGATATCCATCTCCCCTACTTCCGGCATCCTTTCCCCTTCCCCCTTCATCTGATTACGAGTCCGTTGGCAAACGAATTCCTTCCTTCTCATCTCCCACTGTCTCTTCAAAGCACGCTGCGCCCATTTCCTTTGCACAACAATAAATTTACCCCTCCTAGGCAAATTATTCATATATCGCTTCTGGTATCGAATGACACGTCCCTGTTTACCATGGAACAGAATTTAGCCATATCGGACAAGGAAGATTCCATTCAACTCGGCAAAATCACCCAGTACAAACTCTGCATGGTCCTGCTCATCACCTCCAATACATGTTTCCCTTATTGTTTTAGCTCCACGTCTTCCTCCTTTCTTCCTGATCATTTCATTTACCTCGCCAATGTTCCATTTAAACCCTCCATTGAAACGAAAATACCTTTTCTAAATTATTTTGCAATTCGGTCTGTTGGAATGACGTTGAATGACGGATTTCCACGTTTCAGATACGATCTGAGATAACAAGTTTCGGGCATGTCGCGGGACGATCGATCCCTTCCATATTTTCATTCATTTCCCCAAGCCATCAGAATGCTTTGCTCACGGCATATACGTCCGGACTTTAAGACATATTTCAGTCAGCATGAATTCTTGGCTCTAAAAATTAACGTTTGAGGAAATACTTTTCCTCCAGCGGACGAACGAGAAGGCCTGCACAAAACATTTTCGAATTTCCCGAAAAGATGTGGAAAGCCTGGGCGTCACATCACATTGGGAGCAAGGCAGCTGATAACATAAGGTTGGGGGACCAACTTTGCAGCAGGGCTGCGCGTGTGGGCCATTGTTTCTTGTCATATGGCAGCCATTTTTGCTTTTTGTGTGGTTGTCATCAATCTTTGTTGTTCAAACGAGCAAGGTTCCTGCTGATTATGCGAGGTGTCGCCGTAGTAGTTATCTTCAGCGGTATAACGGAAGAACTGGCAATGTACTCCCACTGGATGTCATGCTGTTCCAGGTCTTATTCCACAGGCTGCAGAGAAGGAGACATCCGACAGGATGCTCAATTTTGGCTTACGTCTTGCCCAGCCCCCTCTATTGGAGGGAGGGGGGGGGGGGGGGGAGGACGTACAATTTTCGAGCGGCTACCTTGTAGAGCGGTGAAACAAATGTCGAACAAACGAACTGTTCGTTTGACGAAGTGAACGTTCAAAGCCAAACATAATCTAAAGGAGAGAAAGGGATACCACGAGATGCATGGTAGATGTGTTGGCGGATCTAGGCAGAGCATCTATACATCTTAAACCCTGTATGTACTTCAACTTGAACCCGAGAGAATAGCCCGAGAGTTGTGGTGCTGGCGATTGTCACCCCAGCGCGCGAGGCCTACAACACTATGTCACTTCAGGCCATAGGCTAGGCCATCCACCCCTCAAAGCGCCAGGTCCTTCAGGCTATGCTATTATAGGCCATAGGCTTGGCCATCCAACGCTTTTAGCGCCAGGTCTATCGGGCTATATCAGTCTGAGCTATAGGCTTCATACTTAACTGTATCAATCAAAGCGTGGTCATAACTGAATACGTGTCACTTTTTCAATGATAGATTGCAAGTTCTTCATATGAATACATTCTTTGCTGAGGTGTTTCTGTATTTGTTTTCCGTTAAGTCAGGCGTGGCGGTTCGGGACATCGCTTTCATGCAGTAGTTTTCTGTTTGCGTTTCATGTCATGGTCGATTTATTAGAATTCTCATAATTGACGAAATCAAAATAATAACGTAAGTTCTTTGTTTCATACGTCGCGCAAATGGACCGCTCCTCCCATCAGAATGGTGGCGATATTTGCGAGGAGAGGGTAAACATGACAAAAAGAATAATTGAAAAAGGTCCTACAGGACGAAAATGAGGCAATCATTGCAAATAATTACACGATTTTACACAATTACACGAATTGCGGTACGAAGTGTCTCGATCGATGTTAGCCGTAATGGCTGGAATCATTGATAAATAGCAAGCAGATGTTCGTAGAGAGCGTAGGGCCGCTCAGACTGTTGAACAGCAATAGGCAGCGAATGCTGAGTTCCGGAATAGGAGAGCCGTGCGGCCTACTGAGCAACTTGATGCAAGGAACGCAGCACTCAGGTGTCGAAAGCCAGGGGGCGGCGGGGAATTGAACCCGGATCTTCTGTTTGCCGGTCAGGGGTGCTACCATTACACCACGGAACTCAGGATGTTATGCCTCTCCATGTCATCTCAATCACTACAGTCCTCTGCCGCAGCGAGTACTGTCAGACTATATGCCGGGAGGGGGCATTTGCTTCACATTGCTAGCGCA